ATCTATAATCATATTTATTATGAAATACAATAATTTATAGTCATATTTATTATGAATAACCTTTATGTTTACCTGTCTTACCTGTAAAATGAATGTAGGAATTTTAACAGGATATTTGTCGAGAAATCAAATTTAAGCTGCTAATGAAACACCTTTATTCGCAGCAATGGTTCCTGAGCTTCACGTTTCGCTACGTGAAACAGTTAAAAAGCTTGAAAGTAGAAAGTCTTTGAAAAAAGGATTATACATTCTGTATATGCCTGTCCCAAGTCAGTATCGTGCCGGTATTTGAGTGGTTGTCGTTGGTTCATGTTTGTCATAATTTTTTGGTAAATTGTTAAGTTATTTTGGCTGTTAGTTTTCTCAAATGAATTATATAAAATTTTCCATATCGGGGCATTTTATAGCCGACCATACTGTATGGGCTTTCTCATTGTTGAAGGCCATACGGTTGCCTATAAATGCTTACTTCCACATCTCCTTATTTTTATATTATACAACTAGTACTACATAAAATTAACATTATCAATGTTCCATGTAAATGAGGTAAGGTCAGATTAACTCTGTCACAAAGACATGTACACCCTGCTACCATTCCATACACCACGTATTTGACCCACTACTTATAGCATCTGAGATACGGCCTTGGCCATTGAAACTTAACCTTGTTCATAGATCCATAAAATGAGGTCGAGGTCATGTGAACGAAGATGTCTGACGGACATGTAGGCATTGCAAGGATACCATATATTAGACTAGTAGCCAAGTATAGTTATCCTAGAACCTATGATAAACGAGACATTCACATGACGAAAACAAGCTATACAGTTTTTAGCAGTCTTCAAACCATGATCATGAAGTCAAGGACAATGATTATATGACAGACGGGAACTTCGTAACACAATGGATCTATATACAAAATATGAGCCATCCGATTCCTCTACCCCCTGAAATATAAAGCTTTACAAATAGTTAACGGTGTTGCCGTCACCACCATCAGATTGTATTCTGTATGATAAAGAATCTTGTGTAAATGGCATCTGACTTCACTGGTAGAAGTGCAAAGACTAGTGGAAACATCTCTTCATCAACTAGTGCTTTATAGTGTACAGCGTAATTAAGTTTTAAGTTACACTTTTCTTTAAATTGAATGGATTATATCTTAATTTCTTTTAAAAACTTTCGAAAAAAAATTTAAATTAAAATCACAGTATTGATATTTGTTTTATATAAATAAACGTAAGCTTATAAATATAACTCATAAATGTTATATTATTTACTCAAAAGTGCATTAATCTGATGATATACCAAAAAAATCATATCTTATGCTTTTATAAAATTTATATTAAATAAAAGTTTGAACAAGCAATAATTAATTCTTGTTTATCTAGCAAAACAAACAATATATTCCTTGTTTATTTAAGAACATTTTACTTCATAAAATAATGTGGGACAATCAGAACTTTTCATGTGGGACAATCAGAACTCTAAAATTTTAAAAAGTGGGACAATCGGGAATAAACCAACATGAATGGGGCATCTAATCACGTGCATGCGTGATTTGTTATTTAGTCTTGGAAAGAACTATATTTGGATTGACCAGAATAATATTGATATATCGTCTGATGTTATAAAGAACAATATCTGCAAAAAATAGTCAACAGATATATATCATTGTGAGAAATTAAGTGTATATAAAAATGTAAAGATTGATTTCTAGAGAATTATTTAAGCTACATTAATTTAAGCGATCTAGAAGTAGCTTTCAACAAACAAGATGATTTAAAAGTATTCGACCAAGAACAATAATAACGTTGCAAAAACATATTTCTGATTGTTCTGTATGCTGGACATATCAATCATTAGCGTAGCTTACGTTGAGGCAACCGAGGTAGCCTCGATAATTTTTTTTTTTTAAATTAAAAAACTGTTCTTTATAATATTTTAAACAATTTTCACAAAATGCAGCAGACTCGCTACTAAATCGACTTGTATATCGTCTTGTTCCCTTATTGATTCATACCCTTTGCGAGTTATGCAAGACTTATGAAAACATTTCCCTCCGGAAATCTCGACCCCTTTGTGCAAGGTAGTTTTCTGATTATGTCGGAGTCAAAAAGAAATAGACACAATTGAAGGACAAATTTTAATCCTACCCTATTGCCAAGCAAAATCAGTAGAATAGGTGAAGATCCATTTCACGACCATTCCAGATCGAATCACATGACCATACGGGTAAATTATTAATTTTGGGTAAGAATAATTTCTGGTATATGAGGGTCTGCATGGGTGAGGTTTACAGAATACAGAAAATGCCCTGAAATTATTTTAAACTTAAAAGAATAGAGATTTAAAATGGTGCTTGTATATAAAATAAGGAAAATCAAATTATGAACAAAAAGGATTAAAATAAATATTTGAAGTCCCCTATTCAAACCCTCATATTTAACCGGTAACGTCTAAAATTGAAACATCGTTGTGTGTTGACATTTTCCCCAATACGTGTAGTACTCCAATAAGTACACAGAATTTAATTGACTTTGATACAAATTATAATAAAATATACATTAATCACAAAAAAATAATTTGCATGTTGTTCTCAAGTTTTATTCTCGCATTTTTGAATTTATAGTTTTTCAATAGCAGGGAATTTTAAGTATTTTAAGGAGTTATTAATTCCACTGAGCAACATGTATAGTATATGTCTTTTAATTCATACAAATGTCAGTTTCTATTTAAAATCGTCAATCAAATACTGTTTTCATCTATTATTATGAAGACTTCAGAAAAACGAAAATGTTTCCGTTAGTACTTCACCGGTTGTGTCACTTTCACAATGGGAAAACCATGTAAGAATTTGAAGACCTTCCAAGAAATATCAGGGCGAAACACAACCAATAATAGTGACGTGGTGCGTTTTACATGTAGCATGTGCCTTTTTCTTTAAATCAGCCGTGTTTCTTATTTAAAATAAATTCCCGCTTTCGAGAAATGTTTATTTTGTTATTCAGTTTGCACCGCTTACAACCGCCTGCCTCTTGTTTTATTTTATAAATTAACTTTTAAGTAAAATAATAATTTACTGTTCATTTCATTTCGTTTCGTTCCGTTTTTATTCCGTTTCGCACTTTAGAAGCGCGATAGCGATATGTATGTTAATGATCTTTTCACCCGTTTTCCATTTTTATTATCTTAAAAACAAACTCTCAAAAAGCGAAATAATACGGAAGCGTATTAGCGCCACACGTTTTTTTTTTTTTATATTTCTTCCTATGTTTGCGTTATAACGCAAACCTTTGCGTTATAACGCAAACCTTTGCGAAATAACGTAAACCTTTGCGTTATAACGCAAACCTTTGCGAAATAACGCAAACATTTGCGTTATAACGCAAACATTTTGATTTTAATTATTCATTAAGTTTTGAATATTTAGTAATAAAAAACTATATATAATATTAAATTTACATTTTATGTTTATTATATAATTTGAAAGCAGTGTTTTGTAAATGTCGGCATTTGCATGTCCGTCTGTCATCAAATTTCGGTTGTGATTTAGTTAAGAGAAGAACCATGAACACAAGGCCAAATCATTATAATAAATATGCATAGAAATAAAGGAATACTTGAAGTGCAATTATACATAAATCAATAAATGGTTTATGCATCAGAAGATTATATAAATTTAACAAGTAAATAGATATGGTATAGGCAAATTTTAATTGAAAGGCCAAGATTTTGAAAATTTTGAATAACGGAAAGTGGTAAACTAGATAAGAGCAAAAATAATGTCATACAATTGTGAAACTATAAGTCAAATAGACAAAATGATCTTTCTGCTTTAAAATTTATTATTCCGAAAAAAACATTCTTTTTAAATTTCGATGTAAGAAATCGTTTGTTGAAATCTCAGAATATGATAAAGATTCTTTAAAAAAAGTCATTGAATTTTAATTTCAATCTAGTGAGGTAGCTATTTAAGATGCTTGGGTAGCAATTTGAATGTAGAGAACATAATTATAATAAAATAACATCTTCATCTTATACATTTATGGAAAAAGGGTAGCTTGTTTGAATCTAACCAATCTTACACAATGCTCAAACGAGCGCTTACTTTGGAAGTATACTTAAATTAGGCTACACTAGCGGGGTTGATTTTTTTATTTTCTTCGGTATAACTTCAATTTACTCAATTTTCTTTGTAATATATATATATATAAACATGTATTATCCTGCTCATTATTATCCCATGATGTGTGCTAAACACTCAAGCATTTAACATTGCAATGAGTACAAAGGGTGATAAATGTTAATATGTGCAGCCTCCTCCATTTATAACAGCTGCTTCCTTTGAAACTAAAATAAGAAATAAAATAAAACAAAAGTTTGCGTTATTTCGCAAAGGTTTGCGTTATAACGCAAAGGTTTGCATTATTTCGCAAAGGTTTGCGTTATATCGCAAAGGTTTGCGTTATAACGCAAAGGTTTGCGTTATTTCGCAAAGGTTTGCGTTATAACGCAAAAGGTTTGCGTTATAACGCAAATGTTTGCGTTATAATGCAAAGGTTTGCGTTATAACGCAAACATAGGAAGAAATATAAAAAAAAACGTGTGGCGCTAATATACGCTTCCGTAAAATAATCAAAACTGCACGTTTGATATTTTTAAAGCTTGATTAAATATCTGCAGTATCAAATTTTTAAAATGACATTTAGAATTTTAGAATTTTAATCATTTGGTGAAATTTTCTAAATTTCATTAAATTTCTAAAATTTCAGTGGAATGTCGATATTTTAAAACTTTGATAAAAAAACCAAAAAACTTAAATTTGAAAACTTTTTAAAATTTGGAATTGTTAAGTGTTACACGGACCGTATATCATTTATTTATTCAATCTGATAATCAAACGATCAAATTCCTCGAATTAGTGGTGCACCGCTTCGAAACTCCGTTTTGCTCCGCTGCACAGTCCATCAATGCTACAACTTTGATTGGTCCTTGAACTGAGAACGCTTTCACGTGGTTTCTTCTGACCCGTTTATTCCCGCGTTTAATCATCATATAACCTCAACAGAGATTACGAGACACACATTTTGAACAGATCAAAGAAATCTTGAAGTAAATAAGTTTGTATGCACAACTTTTGCATGACGAATTATAAAACAAAGAACATGTTCTCTTAGCTCGATGTAAATGAAAAGTTTGTTTTGTTTGAGATGCAATCAACCAAAGAACGGCTTTTGTTTGTGGTTTGACACGTGGTGAGTGACGAGTTTACACGCGTACGCGATTAGCTCTGCCGAGGACAGGTTATGAGCAAAATGTTCTAATTTTTTTTATTTATTATGACTTAATTATAAGCTACCCTTTTCGTTTCCTTTTTTTTTAATATCGTAAGTGACGGATGCGTTTTCTATTGATGTAGGCAGCCATTTTGTTGGAAAGAAGTCGAGGTAAAACCGATATTGTTCAGTAACGTAGCTCTTAACACAATTAAGCTCCATATCAATTATTTTATTTGTTCGACCGAAATTATCACCGGACCAAAGGCTACAATTGAGGGGCTTCATAAGGTTGCGTATTGACAAATATCGCAGTTCTTTTCCACTCGTTCGGTCTAGGTTGGTTGATGTTGTCGAGCGTTTGATTTTATCATTATGAGGTTTTATGGACTCCCTTCCCACTTTTGAATTTCCCTTGGAGTTTGTTATTTTGTATTTACTTTTATCCGATTGCACCCTTGGATTTGCGATGCAGGACGTTTCGGCCAAACTGCCAGTTCAGCTACAGTTGTTTCGGCCATGGTTTTTATTGTTGTAAAGGGAGGAAAATATAATTGTTTCTAGGAACATATGTTAAGGTTCTGCTTAAGTGTAACATCTAACACAAAAAACAAAAATACTTATGTTTTAAAAAAAAATCAAGAAATTAAGTCTTTGTCATAAGATGGTATACTAAATTACTTATATATATTGCAAAATAAGGGGCAATAATTCGAATCCGAGTCCGTTCGCGCCCAATCACGTTCGCCCCCATTCACGTTCGCCCCCTTTCACTTTCGCACCCTACACGTTCGCACCCAAAGTCCGTTCGCACCCTACACGTTCGCGCCCAATTTTTATTGGTTTTGTGTTTAATAATTTGTAAACGAGTTTTGGTAAGTGTATTGCTATAAATATATTTTATTGTTTCTAAATAAAGTGAGATTCTGACAAGGGTTTTTTTTGTGTCATGGTAAATGTATTGCTATAAACATTTTTTTTTCATTGGTTTTAGATAAAGTGAGATTCTGACAACCAGTATTTTATTTTTGTGTTGAATAATTTTTAATCATGTTTTGGTTAGTGTATTGCTATAAATATTTCTTTTTTTATTGTTTCAAAAGGAATTGGGATTCTGACAACGTTTTTTTTTATGTGTTGAATAATTCGTAATCATGTTTTGGATAGTGTATTGCTATAAATATTTTTTTTTCATTGTTTATGAATAAAGTGAGATTCTGACAACTTTTTTTTTTTGTGTGTGTGTTGAATACATCTTATAGCAGTTTCAATCCAGGGCATTTATTTCCATATTAAAAGAAGTTTGGAGGTACACTATCTATGAGGTTAAAAAAAAACATAAGTATATATATATTTCATTTATTTTTATTCATCCTTGTATCGTATGTGTATAAATACCAATTAGCAGTACTTAAACATACATAATTAACATTTAATAATTAATAATCAAATCAATTAAAACAATATTTCATTTAAAAATTCCCGAATTTTTATTTGTGAAAATAAAAATATTTTGATATAAACATCTACAAAACATCTAAAAAAAAAAGGGTGCGAACAGACCTAGGGGGCGAACGTGTGGGGTGCGAACATGTAGGGTGCGAACGTGTATTGGGCGCGAACGGACCCGATACCCAATAATTCTTATTATTTATACTAATAGAACAACTTTGTTGCAGGGAGTATGTGTATTGAGTAAATATCACTTAAAAGATTTATTTGATTCATCACCATTTTTTATTAATGTTGTATAAAATTTGACATCATCTTCAGCAGTGAACTTGCAAAGGGTATTGCGCAATAGCAAGAAATCTTCAATTGCACAGTATTACGCAATAGTAAGAAATCTTCAATTGCACAGTAATGCGCAATAGCACAGTATTGCACAGTATTGCACAATAGCACAGTATTGCTCAATAGCAAGAATTCATCGATTGCACTGTATTGGGCAATAGCAAGAAATCTTCACTTGCACAGTATTGCGCAATAGCAAGAAATCTTCAATTGCACAGTATCGGCAACAGCAAGAAATCTTCAATTATACAGTATTGCTCAATAGCAAGAAATCTTCAATTGCACAGTATTGCACAATAGCAAGAAATCTTAAAATTGCACAGTATTGCGCAATAGCAAGAAATCTGCAATTGAAAATAAATACAAATCATTTAACCAATTTCAATTTGATTAATTTAAAGTCTTTAATTTTTGTATTACTTTTTTGGATATTGGGCCCCATTTTTAAATTGGTCTACATTATCGATTGAGGTCAAAAGGGTCCAAAATTAAACTTTGTTGGACTTCATGAAAAACTGAATTATTGCGGCTGTATGATATGCTGAATCTTATTGTGCATTTAGAATTTTTATTTTGGGCCCTGTTTTTAAATTGGTCCATATTAAGGTTTGAAGGGTCTAAAATTAAACTTTGTTTTATTTCAGCTATGTTTTTAGATTTTGGATAACAGACCATTCTAAGTAAATTAAATGTCCCATTTCAAATTTTTAAGAACTTTGACCACATTTATTTTGTGTCAGAAACCTATATTATGTCAAAAATTTGATCACAATCCAAAATCAGACAGTATCAAGCTTGAATATTGTGTCCAAACTTGCCCCAACTGTTCAGGGTTAGACCTCTGCATTTTATTTGGTTCTGTATATATGGTAGAGATAATTATTTTATTTAAAAGTTTATATTGAACTGAGAATACATGTAGATCAATCTGGGTTTTTTTTTTTCATAAGAAAAAAATGTTTCCTCTTACTGATAAAATATTTTGATTACAATGTAGAATTTATCGAAGTGAGAGGCTTATTAAAATATTCTGAAATAAATAAGTGAATGTCTAGTAGCATGGATGTAGATTAAAAGACAATTTCATTACCAATCACACATTGATCTGTTGATTTTTTTACAAAATACCTACCATAAAATTGTCGTGACATGTCTCCCATTATCAATAACTAGATTCAATGCCAACAGGAAGTCAAGTTGATTTGCTGGCTGGATTTTGTTTATTTTAGATATTGCATTATGCATATATTGATAAAAAATCACCGGTATTCTGAAATAGATGAAGGGTAAATGTCTGGTAGCATGGATGTAGATTAAAAGACAATTTCATTACCAATCTCACCTGGATTTTTGATTTTTTTTTTTTACAAAATACCTACCATAAAATTGTCTGGACATGTCTCCCATTATCAATAACCAGATTCAATGCCAAAATGGAGTCAAATTGATTTGCTGCCTGGGTATTGTTTATTTTAAATACTGCATTATGCATATATTAATTTGTATACTGTACAAATACATGACACTTTATTTTATTAATATTCAAATTAAATAATTATAGATATAAATAGATTTAAAACTATTTGTTTGCAGGATTACTTCCTGTACTGAAATTTGGAAAAAAAGATATTCAGGGTTTTTTGACAAAATTACTTTTTTGTCGAGCCTTCGACTTTTGTCGAAAAAGCGAGACAAAGCGATCCTACATTCAGTCGTCAGCGGCGTCCACAAATATTCACTCTGTGGTTAAAGTTTTTGAAGTTTTAATAACTTTCTTAAACTATCCTGAAACTATCCTGGATTTCTACCAAACTTGGAAAGAAGCTTGTTTATGATTATAAGATAGTATCTAGAAGGAAATTTTGTTAAAATTTTGATCCATTTTTTCCGTATTTTACTTATAAACGGACTTAGTTTTTCTTCCAGTTAACATTACATACAGTCTGCAGTTTAAGTTTTTAAAACATTTATTAGATTCATAAACTATCCTGGATTTTTACCAAACTTGGACAAAAGGTACTTACAATCAAAAGGTAGTATAGAGAGGAATATTTTTATTAATTTTTTTCCTCATTTTTGTTGAGCCTGCGATTAACAGCAAAGGTAGGCGAGACACTGGGTTCCTCGGAACAGTTACAAATTTTTTATTAGTAATATTTGGAAATAGATATTCAGTTTGAAGGTTCAGTCATGCAATTATACTAACAAAATAGATTTCGGTTGAATTAAAGATCTTTTGTATTGTCTTACTACCATGAGGTAAGTGTTTTTCTCGTGAAAGATATGAAGAAAAAAAAAGACAAGTTGTGAGGGAACAAGTTATTATAACATTGCTTCCATACATAAAATGTTTTCTATGTACTTTTACTTGACCTAAGGGAGTAGATGAGCTACTTTCTGTTGATAAAATGTCAGTGTCGTATATATAATTTTATAAGGCAAAAAAAAAATGTGTGTGTTGAGGGATTCCAGACCAACTCTAATTTTAGTGCCCATGCTAACGATTTTATCACGATATTACATGTAGTTGTTGCATCAAACTTATTTCATCAAACTACTGGTCACAAATGACGCAAAATGTGTTAAAATCACTACTAGGTTCATTGAGATACTAGAAATAGTGCATTCTCCAGTATGCCAACACTAGCACCGGACTGATTATTCCTGATTTTGACCAAAAAATTATAAAAATTATTTCCAACCCCATATTTTTTATTAAAGGAAACCCTAAACACAAATATTTTTTTTTTTAGCCCAATGGTTTCTAACCACTTTTGATAGTCTTCAGTAGGGGTGTGATGCCCTTGGTCAAATCATACTTGGGCTTGTGAAAATTTCAAATCCAAGAGCCCGACAGACTTGTGTAAAATAAGTATCTATTTGTGTGTGTTTTTTTTTTTCTATTTTCGGTTTGATTTGAAAATAAGAAATGGCTTTAATTAATACCCAGGGATCACCACAACCTATTTACCGCCATCCTTAAATACTTAGCGTGGCATATCGCCATAATATTTAAAGATGGTGGTGCACCACGCTAAAATT